TGAGGTGCTGTGAAAGTGCGTGGGCCAGTTGTAAGCGCATGCAGATCCCGTTTACAGTCGAGAATCCCGCGATGTCTAGGCTGTGGCCCATTCCGTCTCTGCAGTGCTGTCGAAAGCAACCGCATTTTTTCTGGGCCGTCACGCATGTTTGCCAAGATGGGACCGCGTGGAAAAAGCCGACTGGTCTCCTAGGCTATCGTGTGGATGTCTCAGCTTTCGCTCGTTTGCGCACGGGCTCTCGTACGTGTTGTAGTAGGACTGGTCAGCCCCATCAGATTCTAAGAGGAAATGCTCCCGGAAGGCCTCTGTGGACTTTAGTTGCGCAGGCCTACCCCAAGGCGCTTGCGAGACGATGGGCTCGCGCGCTCATCGGCGCCAGACTGCACTCCGAGGCTCTGTCAGTCACACCGATCTGGCTAGGCCGCTAACACAGAGGAGTAGCCCTCTGGATAGTTCGGGATGCTTTGGCTGTGGGGCCGTGCGCCAGAGCACAAATTCGGTTGATTAATTATTTCTCTTGTCGGCCCCAGTGTCGTTCACGGTGCTGCCTTATGCTATCTAACAGAATCCGACCTGGCCTCGGAAATAACATCGTCGGGCATGGACTTTCCCATTGAAGATGAATGCTTTTAGAGGGGAAGGGAGAGGCCGAATGCAGAATGCGTTGTGTCCTTTCAATAGCCTTCGGCTCTCGAGCTCCCACCCTCCCGCCCTGTTGCTGCTGTAAGGCTTCGCCGTGGCCGTGGGGCCGTGCGCCAGAGCACAAATTCGGTTGATGAATTATCTCTCTTGCCGGCCCCAGTGTCGTTCACGGTGCTGCCTCTTGCTGTCTAACAGAATCCGACCTGGCCCCGGAAATAACATCGTCGGGCATGATTATATGATGATGTTGATGCTGATGTTGGTGATGATGCTGATGATGATGCGGATGATGAGGATGAGGGTGCTAGTGATGAGGATGTTGTTGATGATGGTTCTCGTGTTGATGATTATGATGACGATGATGTCGATGATGTTGATGCTGTTGCTGATGATCATGATGTTTTTGAAGCTGATGGTGATGATTATAATGATGATGATGATGACGCTGATGCTGCTGCTGATGATAATGAGGTTGACGCGACTGATGCTGCGGATGATGATGATGATGATGATGATGATGCTGATGCTGGCGACTATGGCGATGCTGCTGACGATGATGAGGCTAACGATGGTAATGGTGATTGTGATGTTGATGCTTATGAGGCAGATGATGGTGATGACAGGGCTGATGATGATGATGCTATTGTTGATGAGCCTGGTAATGGTGACGATGGTGATGATGTTGATGTTGATGTTGGTGGTGACGAGTTTGATGGTGATGATGATGTTGATGATGCTGCTGATGATTGTGAATTTGATGATGCGGATGATGCTGACGATGATGGTGATGGTGATGTTGATGCTGATGAGGATGTTGATGACGATGATGATGATCTTGATGCGGACGATGATGAAGATGATGACGGTGATGGTGGCGATGATGATGTTGATGAAGAAGAAGATGATGATGATGATGATGATGATGATGACGATGATACCGACGACGGTGATGATGTTGATGATGATATCGACGCAGATGATGATGTTGGTGATGGTGACGATGCTGCTGATGGCGATGCTGCTGATGATGATGCTGGTGATGATCCTGCTGATGATAATGATGTTGATGATGACGATGATGACGACGACGATGGTGATGATGCTGATGACGATGCTGATGAGGATGTTGGTGGCGACGTTGATGATGATGATGCTGATGATGATGTTGATGATGTTGATGATGATGCTGATGCTCATGCTCATGCTGATGATGCTGATGATGATGATGCTGATGCTGATGCTGATGATGACGATGATGATGCTGACGCTGAGTCTGATGATGATTATGATGTTGATGATGTTGATGATGATGATGATGATGATGATGATGATGATGATGATGATGATGATGGTGATGGTGATGATGATGGTGGTGCTGAGGAGGCGGAGGAGGATGAGGAGGAGGAGGCGGAGGAGGATGTGGAGGAAGAGGAGGAGGAAGAGGAGGAGGAGCAGGAGGAGGAGGGTCCAGGGATAAGAGCAACAGGGAGGTATTGTAAGTTTTGGGTTTCGCTGGGGCAAAAACTGAATTCTTGACGTTTCGCGTATCCCCACCAGCCCATCCTACACCAGGCACTCGAACGAAGAGCGCCGATGATCGGCAGCTGTTCTCCTCCCCTCTTCCTCCTTCTCCTCCGCCTTCTCCTCCTCCTCCTCTCCTCCCCTCTTCCTCCTCCTCCTCCTCCTCCTCCTCCTCGTCCTCCTCCTCCTCCTCCGCCTCTTCCTCCTCCCTGGTGGCGTATTGGAAGTGTCTTCGAACGTTTTGGTGGGCTCTTGGGCCTTGCGGGCGGGTGGGCGGCGCTCCGCCCGCCCGCGCGCAGGACCCAAGAGGGGGTCCAAGACGTCTCTCGGAGCCATCTTGGAGGAGAGCGATCAACGAAGGGGGGGTCCTAAATTTCAGCACCCCCCTCAGTAGCCACGATCCTCGTGAGGGGTGTCGAATTTTAGCCCTCGCAGGGGTCGATCTTGGACGCTCTGACCGATCGCGGCCCCCCCTGTCCAGGTCAGTGGGGAGGGGGTAGGGGGAGGGGTAAACCCCTCCCCGAAGGGGAAGAAGGAGGAGTGGAAGAGGAAACGCTCTAAACCACCGACGCCCAGAGGGCTGGTGGGATTGGCCATTATTCGGTTGCAGTGGATGCAGGCCATGCTAAAGTACCCGGACAAGCACGAGCACTACTTCACGGCAATGTTTGGCACGGTCCCGTTTTAATATCATCCCCCCCTCTCAACATGCATATTCGGACCACTTCCATGAGGATGTAGAGTTGCTTAGCCACGTAGAAGACATCACGTGGATATTTGATTGTTTGCGTGAAGATCACCGGTATTTGTTCAGAGACCCAGATGTTCGAGAATATTTTGGTATTGAAGATTTGTCGTACACACGTCGGAAAATATGGGTAATCGCATTCCACTCCTGGGTTCGCTCATGTTGCGTCGCTTCGGGGCGGGTCTGGGGATGAGGTGGGCGAGAAAGAGGAGAAGTGGGCCTCCTGGCGGGCCCGCCTAGTGCGACCTGGTCGGTTGCGAGGTTCCAGTCGCGGGACGGGGCCCTGGGGCACAGGCCGCTCTGCATGCGGGAGGCCCCCTGGGGGGTCACGGGCTTGTCGGCCCATGAGCAGAGGATGGTGGGCCTAGGCAGCATCCTGCTTCGCACGTCGGTCCGGTTCTTAGCCATGGCGGTAGTCACGAATGTGTGAGCCATCATGGAGCACCCGATATGTCCGAGATTGGAGCCTTGAGTTGCATCCAGCTGGAAGCTGGAAGAGTTGGGATGGGTAAAATCCCTCCGAGGGGTGAGTTCGTTCGTCACAGATGTTTTCATGTTTGGGGGTAGGCATATGAGCCCTACCACGCTGCTGACTGTGAACATGGAACCGTTCCCGAGAATTGTGAGGAACGGCCCAGGGGGGGAGAGGTGCTGTCACCCACAAGGGCTCTCGGCGGCCGTTGGCAGGGTGGGGGGAAGGTGCAGTGCCTCGGATTTTAAGGAGAACCCCTCGGAGCTGTCTAGACTTTTGGCGGCAGCCTTCCTGGACTCAGGGTGGGCAATGGACTGCCTCCAGAAGGTGCCGCTCTGTTCGTCCCCCTCGACCCCTTCTTCGAGCCCGCACGGCAACATGACTGTGCGCTGGGAAGTGCGGTGAGGTGAGGAACCCCTATTTTAATTCACGATGTGGACGCTTCGGGACTTTTCTCTTCAGCGGTGCAGCAGCAGCAGGAGGAGCGGGATGCTCGCGATGTTGCTTCTCGTGATCCTATTTCTCGTCGTCGTCGTCACGGTCGTCGCCGTCGTCGTCGTCGTGGTCGTCGTCGTCGTCGTCGTCTTCGTCGTCGTCGTCCTTTTTCTTCTCTTCCTCTTCCTCCTCCTCTTCCTCCTCCTCCTCCTCCTCCTGCTCCCTCCCCTTCTCCTCCTTTTCCTCCTCCTTTTCCTCCTCCTCCTCCTCCTCCTCCTCCTCCTCCTCCTCCTCCTTAGGTGCTCGTGTGGACGGCCTAGGGAAGTTGTGTAAGGATCGGCCCTCCAGGAACGCCGAGTATTCTTGGAGGCACCTCTGTCGAGGAGTGCACCCGAACCCCAGGAAGCGAGATGTGACGGTGAATACTCACCAGATCTGTGCCCTGTTTGGTTCTCAGGCCGAGGAGGCTTCCTCGTGCTGCAGGGCCGTGGAGGCCCCAGCTGGGAACCACATGGCGGAGGAGGAGGTGGTCCCCCCTTCCTCGGTCGAGCCTCCCCCCCCCTCGGTGGAGGAGGTCCGTCAGGCCTGTCAGGCCCGAGAGCTCAGCGTCTCCTCTCAGTCCCTCCGCCGTCTCCAAGCCGCTCGGAGTGGCGGTGAGGAAAGGAGGGACTTGGATGCTGACTCGGGTTCTTCTGACTAATTTTATCCTGCCACCTTTGTGGCTCACCTCCTTGCCTCAGTGGCATGGAGGACGCAGCAGCGATTTCCCAGCCGTCGCTGCTGACAGGAGAGGCTGTGCGGGCGTTGAGCTCAAAAAAATCCTCCTCCTCCTCCTCCTCCTCCTCCTCCCCCTGCTGCTCCTCCTCCTCCTCCTCCTCCTCCTCCTCCTCCTCCTCCTCCTCCTCCTCCTCCTCCTCCTCCTCCTCTTCCCTCTCTGCCAGTCTCTTCCCCCCTGCGCCATCTCGTCCCGCTCCCCCTCCTCCGCCTCCGCCTCCTCCGCGCTCTGGCGAGCTTTTGTGCCAATTCGCTGTGGGCAGCCTGCCACGACTGCGCCTGCGCTGGCGGAAGACCCTCATCGCCCACCCGTCGCTTTTTCCCCGCCTCTCCGCCTCCCCTTCCTCCTTCCTTCGATGCTCGTCCCTCCTGCCGCTGTTCCTACTGCCCCCCGCCTCTTGCAGTCAGGCGCGACGCCGGGCACGACTGGCATGCCAGGCAGCAGAGGACGACTGGACGGCTCCGTTCTGCGCTAGATCATGCTGGAAGGAGGAGGCGGAGGCGGAGGCGGAGGACGAGGGCATCGGGGCTATCGCTCGACATCGTCCGCATCACCAAGTCACCGAGGAGGCGGAGGAGGGACGCTCGACAGTGTCCGCATCACCGAGTCACCGAGGCGGAGGAGGAGGAGGAGGCGAAAAGTTACGGAGGTCCCCCCAGGAGCGCGAAGACGACCGCGCTTTACGCACCGCGGCTTGGCAAGGCCCACGCATCCTCCTCGTGCGTCCTTATCATGCGGGTCCACTGTATCAGGGTTCTTCCCCAAACAGTGCTTGCACTCAGGGCTTCTTGCTTCTGTTTACAGAACGGGGCCTGCGGGTCAGTCTGGCGGCTCCGTGCCCGCCGTCGCCGCCCCGTCGCCGCCCGTCGTCTGGGCCTGCCGGTCGGTCTGGCGGCTACGTGCCCGCCGTCGCCGCCCGTCGTGATGTGTCTTGGTTTGCACTGCCTTGTTTTGCACTGCGTTGCCCTGTCTTGCCTTGCGTGTGCGCTGCTTTGCGCTGCTTCGAGTTATGTTGCGCTGCTTCGCATGGCATGACATTGCATTGCTTTGCATGGCTGTGCGTTGCTTTGCATGGCATTGCAACTGCGTTGCTTTGCATTACGTTGTCTTGCTTTGCATTGCATTGCGTTGCTTTGAATTTCTTTGGGCCACATGAACTGCACCACCTAGGTTGCATCTCATTGATTGCACCATATAGGTAGCATTATCCGTGTTGCAAGGAACCACCGACGTAGACTGTTAAACACACATTCAACGCATACTGCACCATATTGACTGCTCCACCTAGACTGCACCACCTACGCATTCTGCTAGGAGCGCATTGCTTGGGGTCCACGTTGGTTCACATGGGAAGCACTGAGGGTTAAGGGTTGTTCTAGGAGGCCCCAGGGGGAGTCCCTGTACCTGCCGCAGGTTCAAGTTTCGGGTAGGACAGCACGGAGATGGGCTGTCGGCCTCGCCAAACAATTTCGGGGCTTGTGGAGGCTGGAGAAGTCAGAACCCCGCGGACCTGGCGGAGGGAATGGCCCTGGGAGGATTAGAACATATGGGCGATCAGAGTTGACCAGAGGGGTTTTTGAGAGAGAAGTAATATTTGCGGCCAGGGATTTATCAGGTGTATTTATCTATATATACTTATGTTTTGGAAAGATATACAACAGAGAGAGAGAGGGTGAGAGAGAGAGAGAGAGAGATTCACAACATGCAATCACGGAGATGCTTCAAGCCGTTTCTCAAGCCGTCGTCGTTGCCAATGGGACCACTTGCAGGCCTATGTGAGTCCACGGGGCTTGCCGGATCCAGCGATGACATCAAAGGCTCCGCAAAACTAGGACCTGAAATGGCTATAGAAACAGGCAGTGGACGAGGCAACGGGCGGGAGAGGAGGGTGGAGACGACCCCGTGGAAGGTCCGTGCACCTCTCATCGCGAGCCCCGCATTTGAGCCCACAGCCGCACGACATGACAAGCGGCTTGGGCGGGGAGCGAGGAGGGAAGCGAGTGCACGAGGGCGCGAAGCAGGTCGGGTGGGTACCCCGAGAGGTGGTGTTCCAAGACTGCTTCCAGAAGCCGGATCGTGATAAGCTCGTTCCCCATCTTGAGGGCCCGGCCGCGGGCCAGGGTGTTGAGGAATATGCCAGGCGTGGAGTGCATGCGAAAATTTCCTCCTCCTCCTCCTCCTCCTCCTCCTCCTCCTCCTCCCTGCGCGCTGCTCAGCCGGCCTCAGACGACCTTCCCGAATTGTCGAGAGTGCCTTAAGAATCGCTTCAGATGGTTACACTGATCCATCCCCAGAGCGGTCCAAGATAGCTTCAAGACGGCCCACTGTGGTCCCAGGACGGCCCAAGAGGCCCACAAGGCGCCCCAAGAGGGCCCCAAGAGCACCCCAAAATTCGCCACATTCCTTTCGGAGATCTTGCATTTTTACTAGTTTTCACAGTGTGCCCCCAAGATTGGCCCAAGAAGCTCCCAAGTCCGCAAGAAGCCCACAAAAGGGCTCCAAGACGGATCTACGGGGCCCCAAGAGGGTCCACGAGGGCTCCAAGATGACCCAAGAGAGCCCCGAGACGGCCCCACGAGAGTCCCCAGAGGGTGAACACGGGAACACGAATGGACATTTCGAGCCTTCGGCCCTAAGGGGGCCCCAGGGAGGCCCCAATCGGCCCCCAAGAGACCCTTGGAGGCCCCAAGAGGTCCAGGAAGCCCCTAAGATGCCCCAAAGGCCCAAAAACGGTCCCCAAGAGGCTTCAAAACTGCCTCCACGAGGCCCCTCGGAAGCCTCCCGCAACATACCAACGAACATCCTAGAGTCCTATGACCCACAACCCAGGCACGGTGGCGGGATGGGCCGAAGGCCATGATACAGAAAAGATATACAACAGAGAGAGGGGAACAGATAGAGAGAGAGATAGAAAGAGAGAGAGAGAGAGAGAGAGAGCGAGAGAGAAAGAAAGGAAGAAATAAAGAAAGGAAGGAAGAAAAGAAGAGGACAGGCGAACATTTCACGAGATCCATTGATTTTTCCTCGGGTGCAATTCTGCACGCGGGCACCGTGGTGCTCGCAGGCACTGTGGTGCACACCAGCGCTTCATTGCACATGGCAGCTGTGTTGTGCACAGGCGTAGCGTTGTACACAGGCACTGTGTTGCACACGGCTGCTTTGATGTGCGCAGGCGCCGTGCCGTGGTTCACAAACGCATGCAAAAGCAATTTGGTCCATGCAGCCACTGTGGTGTGCACAGGCACTGTTGCGCACACGGCTGCTGCGATGCACAGAAGCATTATGGCGTACACAGGCGAAGTCGTGCTATGGTGCACGCGGCTGCCAGGGTGTACAGAGGCATTGTGGTGCACATAGGCGCTGTTGTGCACGCAGGCGTTGTCGTGTACGTGCGCAGGGGTTGTGGTGCACATAAGCGATTGTTGCGCGGGTTCTGCGGGCACGCCTTGGCGGGAGCATGCCCCTTCCCCCCCGGCAAGGCGCAGCACCGCCAATGGATGCAAGATCAATATCCAAGTTCCGCCACCGTGACGCTTTTCAGGCCGAAGAGGTGAGCTCTGATTCCAAAGCTATGCGCAGGCATCAGGTATTTCAATGACGTTGATCTCTTAGAGTCGTTTTCTCCTTTTCTGAAGGCCAAGAAACCAGTGTTTCGGTTGACGCTGGCAGCTCAGCTGTCAGCGTCATCGAACGGAGCCCGCTTGACATCTTCTGGCGATTTGGGCGTTGCGCATGTTGACGTTTCACACCTTCGGAAACGAAGGTGTCCTTCGTGACAGCGTCGGCCTGCCCCGTGTGGTTGGTTGTGGCAGGTGTTGGTGAGGATTGCTAGCCACACGCCGAAACGCTGGAGACGGACAGGACCAGGGGTGCCCGAGAAAGTGGGCACAGTCAGTCCTGGACCAGATGCAGGTGTGCCACGAGGGCTTCAGCGCGGATGCACGTTGTGTCTTGTAGATTGCAGTGATGTGACGATGTTTGGGAACTTCTCTTAGGCCAGCCTCCAGGGTCTCCAAGACAGCCGAAGATGTGCCCAAGATGGCTTTGGGGACGGGCCCTGGGACCACCTTGCGCCGCGAGGGAAGTCTGGACTCCCAAATGCGTTTCCCGATGGCTCTGGAAAAGTCACGCGTGAGACTGCCAAAGAGAGCTGAGATTACGTGGCTCTGCACTCACAGTCTAATGTCCTTCGGCCCATCCCGCCACCGTGCGTGGGTTGTGGGTCAGAGTTCTCAGGAATGTTTTTTCGGGGCGCTCTCGGGGCGCTCTCGGGGGCCTGCTGGGAGCAGTTTGAGGGCGTGTGGGGATTTCTTGGACCGTGTTTGAGCCCTCTAGGGGGCCTCGTGGGCCGTCTTGGAGCGTCGGTAAGCCGAAGAGGCGAAAGCGCCTAAAGACCATCCAATGATTTTGGCCTCTTGGGGCTCTCTTGGGGGGCCTCTTGGAGGCCTCTGGGGGTGTGGTCTTGGGCGTATTGGAGCGATCTTTCGCCGACTCGGAGCACTCTTGGACCATCTTGGGGATGTGTTGGGTCTTTCTTCGCGTGTCTCGGAGTCTTCGCCCCGAAAAGCCATGCGAAAAAACCTCTTGGGAAAGCGACAAGCCGAAGAAGATTTGAGAAGTCGGGGTCCGGTCCTTTGATGACTCCTTGGGGGTGAGGATTGGGGCTTAGAGGATTGGGCAAAGGATCCGGGAGCACGCCCATTCCGCGCCCAGCGGCACGGTGGCGGACTTCCAACGGGGAATTCGAAGGGACTTGATTACATTCGAAGCAGTACCCACAACACGGGGGCGGATATGGATGTGCCCCGCTGGTGTATGCATACGTGTTTATGTGTATGCATCGATGCATACATGTATGCATGTATTTCTACATTGCGTAGACAGGGACGTATCCATTTACATGTACATATACATACGCACATACATACACATACATACATACATACATACATACATACATACATGCACACGTACATACTTACACATGTAGTATGTGCATTTAAGAACATTCACATTTTTATATGCATGCATCTATGCATACATGTATGCATGTATTTCTACATTGCGTAGACAGGGACGTATCCATTTACATGTACATATACATACGTACATACATACATACATGCACACGTACACATTTACACATGTAGTATGTGTATTTAAGAACATTCACAGTCATATTACATTTTTGCATCTGGATAAATATATACATAAATAAAACGAGCGAGAGAGAGAGAGAGAGAGCGAGAGAGAGAGAGAAACAACAGACAACGAAATAACGAGAGAGAGAGAAAACACACACCACATGTATACATAGACAGCGAAACAGCGATATATATATATATATATATATATATATATATAATAATAATAATAATAACACACCACAGCGGCCGTCTTATCTAGGAGGAGGAGGAGGAGGAGGGGCATGAGGAGGTGGAGAACG